GGATTTGAACTGCTGACCTTTTGGTTGGCAGCCGAGCTCTTAAGCACTGTGCCACCAGGGTTCCTTAATGCTTAAATGATTATAAAAGCTTCTATGCTAATCACAAGAGGCCAGCTAGAGCCAGAAAGGCTTTGGAATATCTAGCCTCCTTTGAAGTTGTTTTTATGCAGAAAAAAACAAAAACAATAAACATATTAAAGAGCTCCTTAAATGCCCTCCCCCAGGAGATGTTCTCACTTGATGCCTTAGACTGTGAATCTTCCATGGAAATTTATTGCTGTAGCATTAACTTTTAGCATCTCCCGCCATCCCACCCCAGCTCGGTTTATCATGATCTTTTGTCCTTGAAAACCAATAGTAAGAAACAACCTGGCACCTTAATTCACTTTAGTTTCCTTGCATCCAAAAAGGGCAGTCCAAGACTTGGATGTGAGTAAGCGATCCCACTCAGTAAACTGCACACATCTCGATTCCAAGATGGACTGTCTCCGTCTCGCTACTAACACACACAGGAAGTATGGCCTTATAACCTTAACTTTTGCTTCTTTCCATTTGCAACGTTAATAGTTTTTAGCACTTAAATTCTTCCTCAGAAAGTGTACATGGAGCAATCCACCTACACAACGAAATAAGTAGTCATTTACATACCTATTAACTAAATTGCTCTGACAAAGAATTTCATAAATGCATAGTTACTATTCTCTAAAAATAATAAGAATTTTATACTGTCAAGAGCAAGAGTACTTTTTGTTTTCCTGGTGCTCTTCTATTAGCCAAAGTAAAGCAAAAGTGAAACACCTCTAAATCTTCCATGTTGAGATTTTTCAGTCTACCCCAAAATCCTAGCTTAAAACTCATCCACACTAAAATATCATTTCAGAGCGCACTTTGCTTTTTGATGTATTTTGTAGTCCTCCTCATCTTAAAGAGATATGTTTTTACAGCTATGGCCTAAAGCCTTGCCTAAAGTTCTCTGGGTATAATAGGAAGGTCCTTTAATATTCTGTACTGTAATCATCTTGAAAGCAGGGAATGTGTTTTATTCATCTTTTGATTCCCAAAAGTAAACCCAAAATCCAAACTCATTGCTATCAAGTTGATTCTGACTCACAGTGACCCTATAGGGCAGAGTAGAGCTGCCCCATAGGGTTTTCAGGCTATAATCTTTATGGAAGCAGACTGTCACATCTTTCTCCCACGGAGTGGTTGGTGGGTTTGAACCACCAACCTTTCGGTTAGCAGGCAAGTGCTTTAACCACTGCACCACCAGGGTTCCTTTTTCACAACTAAGGAGCTCAATAAATATTTGTGGAACAAATGAATTCAATCTTAATTAGGTCACTTCAAGACTCAAGTCCCTTCTTTTTTGGTGTCAGATAGTCGTTTCTGTGTAGTCCCTGTAGCCTTCAAATACAACAGGTAAAAACAAACCCAAACCCCAAATTGTCCACTGTGTCCAAGCTGAGAGGTTATCTGATTAACACTTTCCCTTTTAAACAAAAATCTAAACCAAACCCATTGCCGTCAAATCAATTCCGACTTACAGCAACCCCGTAGGACAGAATAGAACTGCCCCATTGGGTGTCCAAAGCTGTAAATATTTACAGAGGCAGACTGCCACATCTTTCTCCCATGGAGTGGCGGGTGGGTTTGAACCTTCAACCTTTTAATTACCAGCCAGGCACTTTAACCACTGCGTCGCCAGAGCTCCTCCTCTCTCTCTTAGTTAGACCTTAATCAAAAGAACTCGAAAAAACTCAGACTCAGGCCAAATGTGAAAGCAGTCTGCTCCCAGAGTCTAGCTGTAAAGTCCATGCCATAGGTCTTAAAGACTAGGGGTGGAGGGATGACCATTTTGTGCAAATGGTATCTTCAGATCAATAGGAGGTGCAACCTTGTTACCAAGAAGGGACTTAGATAAAGACAGAGATTAAGTTTATCTGGTTTGCAGGTAATTATCCAATAATACAAAACAGAGGTAAAATATGAGTTAAAACCAATAAGATCAAATTAAACAGGGCCAAAAAATGTAAAGTTATATGATTCAGCAACAACAAAGCGACTCCAGTACAGAATGGAAAAGACCCAGCTTATAAAAACCAAGAGATTTGGAGTTTCTGGAACCAAAACTGGCTATTTAAAAAAAATGGAAAATAACAAGTGTTAATGAAGATGTGGAGAAACTGGAACCCTCATGCCTTGTTGGTGGCAATGTAAAATGGTGCAGCCACTGTGGAAAACAGTTTGGCAATTTCACATAAAATTAAACACAGAATTACCATATGACCTACCAATTCCAATCCTAGGTATGTACCCATAAGAATTCAAAACAGGGGCTCAAACAGATACTTGTACACCAATGTTCATAAAGCATTATTCCTAATAGACAAATGGTAGAAACAACGCAAATATCCATCCATGAATGGAAAAACAAAATGTAGTATATACACATAATGGAATATTATTCAGCCATAAAAAGAAATGAGTACTGAGACATGCTACAATATAATGAATCTTGAAAACATTATGTTAAGTGAAATGAGCCAGACAAAAAAGGACAAATATTATATGATTCTACTTACATGAAATATCTAGAATAGGCAAATTCATACAGATAGAAAGTAGATTAGAGGTTTCCAGGAACTGGGGGGAAGGGGAATAGCAGATTGCTTAATGAGTACAGAGTTTTTCTTTGGAGTGATGAAAAACTTTTGGAAATAGTGGTGATACCTGGACAACATGGTGCATACAATTAGTGTCACTGAAATATACACTTAAAAATCATTAAAATGGCAAATGTTGTATGTAGCTTACATAACTAAAAAAAAAAAACAAAAAAACCCCAACAGTATCGAAAAGAGAAACAGACAGTTCCACAATAATAGTAGGAGACTTTAACATATTATTTTCAATGAAGGACAGAACTAGAAAAAAATTCAGCAAAGATACAGAAGATCTAAATAACACAATTAACCAACCTGACCTGTTAGACATGTACAGCACATACCACCGAAAAGCAGCACAGTACACATTCCTCTCCAATGCATAGATCATTTTCCAAAATAGACCATATTTTAGGCCACAAAGCAAACCTCAATAATTTCAGAAACACTGAAATAATACAAAGCATCTTCTCTGATCACAATGCTATAAGACTAGAAATCAATAACAGGAAGAACAAGGAAAAAAAATCAAATACATGGAAACTGAACAACACTTTGCTCAAAAACCACTGGGTAATAGAAGAAATTAAAAATGAAATAAAAAAATTCCTAGAATTAAATGAGAATGAAAACACAACATACCAAAACTTTTGGGACACAACAAAAGCAGTGCTCAGAGGAGAATTAACAGCAATAAATGCACACATCAAAAAAGAAGAAAAGGCCAAAATCAATGGCTTAATCCTAAAATTAGAACAAATAACAAAGAACAGAAAAAGAAGCCCACAGTCACTAGAAGAAAGGAAATAATAAAGATCAGAGCAGAAATAAATGAGACAGGAAACAGAATCAACAAGACTAGAAGTTGGTTCTTTGAGAGGATCAATAAAATTGACAAACCACTGGTCAAACTGAGAGAGGAAAAGAATGAGAAGATGCAAATAACCAAAATAAGAAATTAGATGGGTGACATTACAACAGAATCAACTGAGATAAAAAGGATCATACAAATTATGAAAAACTGTACTCCAACAAATTTGAAAACCTAGAAGAAATGGACAAATTTGTAGAAACACACAATCTACCTAAACTAACACAAACTGAGGTAGAAACTGTGAAAAGACCCATAAGAAAAGAAGAAATTGAAGAGGTCATAAAAAAACTCGCAACAAAAAAAGGCCGCAGCGCAGACAGCTTCACTGGAGAATTCTATCAAACATTCAGAGAAAAGCTGATGCCAATTCTACTCAAACTATTCCATAACATAGAAAAGGACGGAATACTCCCTAATTCATTCTATGAAGCCAGCATAACC